CTTTTTTGGGATGGAATGGGGCCTGAGATGGACCAAGGCTTTTATGCATGCTCTCTTGCCTCTTCCACCATGATTCCTTCTCCTTGCCTGCACTCTTGATCTCCTCACCCTCTGGAATCCCTACCTTCCCTCCCTTACCTGTTGGTTATTTTGCTCCCAGGTGGGGGCCAGCCCATTCTGGGATGAGAAGGGCAGTGAACAAAGTGTGAGGACTTAGAGTTTTCACTGCTTTGTAGTTTAAGTAGTTCAGGCCAGGTGGCTTTAGGGAAATAGGAGGTTCTTGGGAACACAGCAGCCAGAGGAAGCACCAGTCTTCCACTCTATGGGGACATCCAACCTTATTCTCTCGTCGTTAATTTGAATGGAGATACTCTTGTATTTGTTTCACAAACAAAATAGAATTTTAGACATTCAGTTTAATTTCACAAATCAAATAGTTCCCACAATGTTGTTTGTCATTTGTACATTTTCCTATAACACTGGCTTCTCAGAGATGGCTCTAATGAGACTTTTTTTTACACTGCAGTATTGTAATAGTGCTGTTGCTTTTAGATCAGGCTAATGTGTGAATGGCATGAGAACAGCTTCTTATATACACACAGTTTCCTAGATGGTTACTTTCCTATGTTAGTATGCTTCACTGTGTTCTATTTAAGCTTAAAGATGCATTTTTCTATAAGTGAAGGGAGAGATAAATACTTCTTTTTATGTGGTTGCTTAATATTTTGAAGTATTTACTGAGCCATTCCCCTTTTAGACAAAAATTTTAAGATGCTAGTCATTCAGTTATGCTAGAAATTGGTTACTAAGTTTGCAGCAGAAATAAACTTCATGCCATGGGATTAGCACTAAAATGTAAGTGTTGGTGGTTTTTAGAGTTCTAGTTAATGTTCTTGGGCATGTGTCTGTTTTTACTCTGGAAAAAACCCCACTTTTTTGAGTAACTACAAGTTATCTTTCTGGAAACATTTAATTGCTTTTCACTTCTTTTTGAGTGATCATCAGACCAGTATTTATTGCAATTCTAGTTTACCTTTTTATAAATGGTATACATACATCTAAAAATACAACAGTTATTCATCTATATTACTGTATTGCTCGTTATTATTGTTTTTAGTATTGGCCATTTGCAGAAAAATCAGAAACTACCCAGTGCTTTTAAAAAGTTAAGGAATTTGATCAGGAAATTGAAAGAATGTGATATAAATTGAGTGGAATAAATTAATGTAGTCACGGCTGTTCCTTTGATGATCAAATTCTTAGCTTAAAAATGGGGTAAATCATGAGACTAGTTCAAGTTTGTCTAGTAGTAGCTGCCAGTATTGGTCCATGAAACTGAGAAACCTCACCATGTAGAGCAGATGCTAAGTACTGTACATAGTGCTCAGTAAATATTTATTGGATAAATGCTTAAAGAGAAAGACACTTAGACTGACACATTTTGACTTGGTAGGTAGTGCTTTTTGGTAACTCTGTGATCTTGAAATAATCTCTTGATTTTTTTTTTTTAAGTCAATTTTCTGATTCAGCAAAAAGGATTGTAATGCAGGGACTTTCTAATGTGGAAAGGATTGGGTTTTAACCCTAGACTGTGACCTTGGGCAGGTCACTTGTCCTCTCTTTTCTCATGTATAATCAGATTGGGCTTGACTGAACTCCATGAATTTTTAAGGTCTCATCTAAATCTAAAGTTCTCTGCTTCTAAGTAAAGTTGCTTGGGGACGAAAGACAGAGGCATTTCGAGTACCGAGAGTGCTGTGTGAAGTATGACTCTCACGTGGAGTTAAGAATAGGGGATAATTTACGATGCCTATGCGGTTTCTTTTTGTTTTTTCTTTCTTTTTTTCTCTTTGTTAAATTTTGTTTGTTTGTTTGTCCTCAACAGTCAATGACAACACAAACAGCAGAGTGGTCCTTTGGTCCTTCTTTGAAGCTCTTGTTCTAGTTGCCATGACATTGGGACAGATCTACTACCTGAAGAGGTTTTTTGAAGTCCGGAGGGTTGTTTAAAAAGCCTTTTCCTGATGATCTGAAACTTATAATTCACTGTTTACCAAACATCTTGGTCATAATAATGTCATTAGTTTCTACGTTTTTATTTTCTAAACTGTACATTCACAGCTTCTCTTTCTTTGTCATTAATAGATACTGGGGGAAAACACTTTTTTAGGAAAGTTACAGTGAAAATTTGACATGTGATTGGCATGATTTCATATTTCAGTTCTTTCTCCATATACAGGTCCTTCCAGAACTCAAACACTGTAAGTGGAATTAGGTGTATAGTCCTTATTATATCTTCTTTGCTTTTGTTTTCATAGTAAAATGCAGTTTGTTCAGGATAGTACTTTACTGATAGTACTTTACTAAAAATGACTGCATTCTTGGGATCCCTTATCCTGCAGTTCAAGTCATTAAAGGTTCATTTTGTTGTTGAGTCCTTATCAGAAACAACAATCTGAATCTTGACATTTTCTATCCAGCCTAATGGCAGAGCTCTGTGACTAGAGTATGCTACCAGGTTGGTACTTTTATACTTTGTCTATCTTGTTTTTGCTTTGAAGATAAGACTTAAACCAACAACCTTTTTCCCCTTTAAAGTTTTACTTTGCTTAGAACTCAATCACCTCCACTTAAAATTGTTGACACAAGCAGCTAATAACCATTTTTTGGTTTCTGCCTAACCTTGTAAGAAGTCTCTTTTAAAGCCAATTCTCTGGGTGTTGCAGTGAACGGTGGTTCTTTTTCTTTCTATGCTGGCACATCCACTTTCTCTACGCTTGGCACGGAGGAGGTATGCATTCACATAATTGGAAAAACCTGGATTTCTGAAGCCAAAGGGTTAAAAAAGCCTCTTGGATTTCTTTGCAGTGATATACAGCCACTATTTTATTTTTGATCAGTGGCATTTTGGCCACTGTTTAATTAGTGTACTGAGCATTACTGTCAGTACTAGGGTGTTTGTTTTTGTTTTTCTTGGGTCTTTCTTTTTTTTGGCACATGTGAATTTTGTATAAAACGAAATGACTTTCTCTTGGCCTCTGATGATGGGTTTAAAATTAAAGGAGCATCTAGTTTTGGTGTGGGGATGATCCAGGATTATGTTGTGACTGATGTATATTGATTACTTGTACATTTGTTTTGGATCTTTGCAAGGGGAAAACTACAAGTAATGAGTTTTATATAATTAATTTAAATTTGTTACAGGTTTTCATGTTCAGGATAAACAATTTTTCAACCTTGGGTGAAAATACTTGCAACAGTTTAAGGTGACTGTGTTTTACCTTAGGACAACTGTTGCATGCCAATTTGTGTGCGTGTGTGTGTGAAAACACTTCAAAATTGAGTTAAAAGATGTAAATTTAAAATTGGTTGTGTATCTAATCTGCCCCAGGTCCAGTAAATAAACAATTCTTTTTAAAAACAGTCTTGGTATTCTGTGTTTTATATATTGATTAATTCACATTTGTTAAATACCAACTTGCTAATCATATTTGAAATGAGACATGTCATGTTTTCTGAGTAATGATGCCTGTTATAAATATCTGTTACTTTGTATGTCTGTAAACTTGAGGATAGTAAATAGGAACCCAATTTTAGGTTTCCCTGTGTGATTCCTTTGATGGGTCAGTGTTATTAACATCTTAAGTATTTTTTTCATTGGAAAAAACGTTTGAGTTATTTTCACTCAACCACCTGGTTTGTGGAAGTGGGAAATAACTTTAAAAGGGATCAAATGATTAGCCCAAGGCTCCCAGATGAAGAGTGATTGATGGGACCAGAATCTAGATCTCTACTTTTAGAAATGGTTCCTCTTCCTCTATTACACTAAGGGCCTGCTAGTAATAAAAGAAACTATGGTTTATCCAGCACTGTGTAATGTCCTGGCCCGACGCTAAGCGCTTTACACGGTCTGCCTCATTTATTTCTCAAAGCATCTATTACCTTGGGTGCTATTATAATCCTCATTATGGAAATAAGCAGGCTTGGAAAGGGTCCCCAGATCAGAAAATTAGTAAGTAGACCCCAAAATGAAAATGCAGCTATGCGTTTTCCTTCTGTCTTTGCTTTCAGACCTGTTTGGAAGTCCTATTTTATAAAACAGTTGTCAAAGGCATTTTGAAGATGTGATGATGGCATTAAAATGAAAATGTTGCCTTAGGCTTTACTCTTTCACTTTCTAGTTTGAGATGACTGGAGTTTGCATAAGTACTGTCCCCATTTATTCATTCCTAAAATATTTGGGTGACTGCTGTGTGTAACCAGTTGTAGGCACTGAGATAAATAGAACAGAAAAATTCCCATTATCCTAGGATTTACCTTTTAGAAATATGGCATATTAATGATAAGTGATATGGCGGAAAAATAAAGCAGGGTAAGTGGATTAGGAAGGCATCACTGAAATGCTATTTGAAAAGTCCTGATGGATGTAAGGGAGCAAGCCAAGCTAAAGGTATGGGCCCAGCTCATAATAGCTGGTCAGTAAAAGCTTGCTGAATGAATGTACACGTGCACGAGTCAATCCAGTGGTGAACACAGGAATAAGCTTCAGTGTTCCTGTTTAGGTCTCTGACCTCACTTCCTCGGAAGTAAACCAGCATTTATTGTGTAGTAGGCAGTGGATCCCCACCATCACCCTGTTTTGCATATTTGGGGCTCCCGGGCTGGGGTACATTTCTGTCAACTCCCTCCAGACCCACTGTCCTTTGGCCAGGACGCGGTGTTGTGCAGCCACCTGCCTCCAACTGGCAGGGAAAGTGTGAGAGCCGGGGCAAAATCCCTCCCGCCCAAACGCCTGCTCGATGTGGAAGGGCGCTCCGAGCCCAGGTGGCTGCGCTGGACGAATGGCACCATGGCCGGGACCCCGCGGCCAGCTTTCATCCGCCAGCCGTCGGCTTTCCACTCTCCTGCGGCGAGGGCGCCTTCCCCCGCCCTCCGGAACTTTGCGACTGGAGCACGGTTCCGGACGGGGCCTGTTGGCGAGCGGAAGCGGAAGTGCGCCAGGGAGGCGTCGTAGTGGTAGCTGCGGTGGTGGAGCTAGCTATGGAGCACGTGACGGAGGGTTCCTGGGAGTCGCTCCCGGTGCCGCTGCACCCGCGGGTGCTGGGTGTCCTGCGGGAGCTGGGTTTCCCGTACATGACGCCGGTGCAGGTACCCGGGGCCGGGGAGGTGGGCCCTCGGTGCGCAGGGGGCAGTTGGGGAAGGGGAGGCTCAGGGCGGGCCCGGCGGCCGCTTAATTGGACGCGGCTGGTAGGTGTTAGGACTCGCATCCTGGAGTTTTCACCCCTCCGGCTGGGACTTTTGCCACGTCTTTCTGCTGCGCCGACTCGGGTGATGCCAAGCTGGTTAATGATCGCCAGGCAGAGGCGGCAGGCGGCGGCTCACCTGTGCCAGGGTCTTCACCTCCCCCCAACCCCGCCCTTAGGTGCTGGGACCCAAGTGCCTGGTTCGTATTCTCCCCCTACCCCCTCTAGCTGTGAGACCTTGGGCAAATGACTTAACCTCTCTGTGTTTCATTTCCTTTCTCTGTGAAATGACGAAAATAGTATTACCAGAGGGTTGTTGTGGAGATTACCTAAGACAATTCTGGGCACATCATGGGCGCTCAGTAAATGTTACCTGCTGTCATTGTTGTTATTATTACTTGGGCTAAGTGAAGTGTCCTGGTCCAGTTTATTCAAGAAATTTCTTGAGGACAAACTACATATTGGGTACATTTTTCTAGGCTCCAGGGATTTTGCAGTGTTGGTTCCCACTCATGGGCCTTGTTTTCTAATGCAGGAGAGAGAGAAAGGGGTAAAGGAATAAGGTAATTTCAGCTGGTGATAAGTGTTGTGGAGGAGACAGTGACAAGAAGGTACAGGATAGGAGATAAGATAGGGGAGGCCTCTCCGAGGAGGTGTCATTAAGCTGCTACCTGAATGAGAAGGACCTGGCTGTGGGGTGATTGGGGGCATGATATTCCAGCAAAGAGAAATGCCTGTGCCAATGCCCTGCGGCTGGAAATGAGCTTGGAGGAGCAGAAAGAATGCCTCTGTGGCTGGAGCAGCATGAGCAGTGTAAGAGGTGAGCAAACCGGGTGCCGGATCATGCAGGGTCTTCCTTGTAGGAGATTGTATTTTATTCTAAATGCAGCAGGAAGCTGTCTTCCATGGGAAACTGCAGAAAGGGAAGGGATGTGACTGTGGTGTAGAGAATAGACTTTAGAGGAATAAGAGAAGTGAGGAGGCCCATTAGGAGACCACTGTCAAGTTAGAGGTGATGGTGGCGTGGAGTGGAGAGGATGCAGTGGATATTGAAAAGTCTATGTTGGGATAGCTTTAGGGCTCCTGAGGGGCCAGATGTGGGGTTCATGAAGGAGGAATCTACAGGGACCCTGAGGTTTTTGTCCTTAGCAGCTGGGTGGATGGTGGTATCATTTATTGAGATGAGGAAGGCTGGGAAGGATAACAGGCTTCAGAGTGAAAATCAAGAGGGTTCTGTTTTGAAATGTTAAGTTGAGATGTCCATAGGCTCCTCAGGAAAGGTGTGGAGGAAGCAGGCAGTGCTCTGTGCCATGCCTCGGGACTGTAATGCAGACAAGACCCAGTGTCTGCCATTGGAGTCGATGGTCTAGGTGCTGTCCACTATGGTAGTCACTGACATGTGGCTGTTGAACACTTGAAACGTGGTGAGTCCATATTGAGATGTGCTCTGAGTGTAAAATGTACAGTGGATTTTGAGGACTTAGTGTGAAAAACGAATGAAAAATCTCATTCTTTTTTTTTTTTTAATAAATTTATTTTATTTTTGGCTGTGTTGAGTCTTTGCTGTGTGCAGGCTTTCTCTAGTTGTGGTGAGCGGGGGCTACTCTTCGTTGCGGTGCGCGGGCTTCTCATTGCGGTGTCTTCTCTTGTTGTAGAGCACGGGCTCTAGCCGCGTGGGCTTCTGTAGTTGTGGCACGTGGGCTTCAGTAGTTGTGTCATGTGGGCTCTAGAGCGCAAGCTCAGTAGTTGTGGCGCACGGGCTTAGTTGCTCCGCGGCACGTGGGATCTTCCCAGAGCAGGGCTCGAACCCGTGTCCCCTGCATTGGCAGGTGGATTCTTAACCATTGCGCCACCAGGGAAGACCCCCCACCCTGTTTGACAACCCCAAATGTCTTCAGACATTGCCAGATGTTCCCTGCGGATACAGAAATCACCCAGGCTGAGACTTACTTGTGCTGAAGCAGTTAGAGAAGTGCTGCACGTGCTGCAGTGGGTGAGCTCAGGCTCTGGGGACCAGGAGTGGAGTGTGGTCCTGGACGGGGGGCAACCTTGACGCCAAGACCTGAGTCTGCTTCAGGTTCAGCTGCACATTGCTGCAGCCAAAGGGCCAGGCCTCTTGTAACCCTGTGGGTCTTCTGCGGTGTTTATAATTAGAGGGCCTATTTAAATTGTTGTTTTGTGATACTAGAGCTGGAAGGAAGACAGTGTCTTCAAACCCTTCCTGGTCCAGAGAGGAAGAGTAGGCGAGGCAGGGCTAGAACCCAGGACCCCCAAATCCCAGCTTGGCTCACTTCCCCTCCATGCCATCTGTGTAGACACCGCTGCTGTATTACCTGTGAGCTGACCCCACTGGGGCCCCTGGTGGTGACTGTAATCGGAGTCCACTTTGTGGTGGGGTCCAGTGTGACCAAGGCCAGCCTTGTGTTCCTTGGGCTTTGGGCCTCATCGGTGGAGTCACGGCATCCCCTAACCAGTGCTCTGCCACGTCTCTTTTCAGTCAGCAACCATCCCTCTGTTCATGAAAAACAAAGATGTTGCTGCAGAAGCGGTGAGTACCTTGTGTAAATGCAGCTTGTCTTCCTGTTTTCCTTCCAAAATGAACTGTGAGGAAAAGCAAGCGGGAACTTTCTGCCCTTTGCAGGTCACAGGTAGTGGCAAAACACTCGCTTTCATCATCCCCGTCCTGGAAATTCTCCTGAGAAGGGAAGAGAAGTTAAAAAAGAGTCAGGTGAGGATAGCTAAACGGTTTATTTTCACTTAGTCATCGGAGAGTTCACAGTTGAGGAAGAAGCTGGTCAAAAGCTTGAAAAAATAAGAAGGAAAAAGTACAGTCTGTCCTCATTACTTGCAGGTTCTATGTTTATGAATGTGCCTACTGCTTAACATTTATTTGTAGCTCCCCAAAGCAGCACTCAGTGTGCTTTCGTGCTCATGCCTGCACTTGTATGGGGCAGCGACAAATGGGAGTCGCCTTATGGCACTTTCCCAGCCAAGTCTCATCAGGGCGATACTGCCTTCTCGTTCCAGCTCTCAGGCTGTAAGCAGGTGTCCTTTTCCCGGTCAACTTACTGCTGTGATTTTTTTTTTTTTTTGGTGATTTCACTGTTTAAAATGACCCCCAAACATAGTGCCAAAGTGCTATCGAATGTTCCTGAGTGCACAGAGGCTGTGATGTGCCTTACGGAGAAAATACATGTTACATAAGCTTCTTTTGATAGTGCTGTTGGCTATGAGTTCAATGTTAATGAATCAACAGTGTATATTAAATGAGGTGTCTTTATTTAATAATTTAATTGAAGTATAGTTGACTTACAAAATAAGGTATCTTTAAACAGAAATATATGTAAAACAAGCTTATGTATTGATAGGTCGACACAAATGTGGCCAGAGGCTTGCAGGAACCTAACCCCATTTCCCCAGGAGCAGTGGTCCAGTGTTCACTAACAACGTATGTGGCCACTTTGTAGAAGAGAACTAGGGCTGACTATAATTCAAACTACAGTTGACTTTTGAACAGCATGGGTTTGAATGGTGCAGGTCCACTTAAATGCGGGTTTCTTTCAGTAGTGAATAACTATAGGTCTGCACCAGCCGAGGTTGGTTTAATCCCTAGATGCGGAATTGGGACATGGAGGAACCAAACCGGTTGTATGGAGAGCCAGCTGTAAATAATTTGCGGATTTTCGACTACGCAGAAGGTTCACATCCCCAACCTCCACATCATTCAAGGGTCAGCTCTTGATGTGTACCGTGACCGGGCATGACCGGGCACTGCTGAAAAAGCCCAGGAAGTGCTGTTTCTCTGGGAACCTTCGTCCATTAGGTGGAGGGTGCAGTCTCGTGTGAGTTCAGCTCTGCAAGCCCTGGGCTCTGCTAATCATGTGCCTTCCCCAACGTGGGCAGGTTGGTGCCATAATCATCACACCCACGCGAGAGCTGGCTGTTCAGATAGATGAGGTCCTGTCGCATTTCATGAAGCCCTTCCCACAGTTCAGGTAAATGGGAGGCAGGGTCCCTGTCAGCCATGGGCTGTGATTTTACCTGACCTGCTCAAAGACACTTTTCTTGTTTTAGCCAGATTCTCTGGATCGGAGGCAGGAATCCTGGAGAGGATGTTGCGAGGTTTAAGGAACATGGGTAAGTTGCCTTGCTTGCCATTGGCATTGAACCCAAGAGGAATCGACACATGATCTAGGCTTAACCGGAATCCCCCAGCTTCAGAAGCTCCCTCCCCACAAAAAGTTCTTTCTTCAGGCCAACCTCCCATTTTGTTCACGGGCTCATGATCTCGTCCCTCCCGTAGTGGTCCCTGACCTCGCCCCCGAGCCCCAGACACATAGATGATCCACCTGTCTGCTTGGCATCTCCCCAGGCATCTCACAGCTGTTGCAAACGCGTCTACAACAGGAGCTTGGAATTTTCATCCCCAGGCTTGCACCTCATCTGGAGCTTCCTGTTCATCTGCCCCCGTTGCTTCTCCTGAAGTCAGGGGCACAGCCTCAGCTCGTTCCAGCCCCTCCACTCCCCCTCACAGCCAGCTGGCACCACATCCTCTGCATTTTCTCTCCAGAGCCTGTCTCTAACCGTCAACCTTCCCATCGCCACCTCTCCTACTCATTTCCCCCCTGGACTCCTGCAGTGGCTTCTCTGTCTCTCTCTCTCCTGTGTGTGTCTACTATTGCCCCCAATAGTCCACTCTCCGCGTAGCAACCAGAATGCCAGTCGGGTCATGTCACTCACTGAAAGCTCTTCAGTGGCTCCTGCTGGCCCTTGGGGTAGATCCTAGTGTTTGCCTAGGGCCTGTGAGCCACCACTCTCCACTGCTGCCCCCTTCACAGCCTGCCCTGCTGCCACAGTGGGCTGGCTTTCTCCCAGGTACTGCACGTGCCAGGCTCTTCCGTGTCTCCAGGAGGCTCGGGAGAGTCGGGGTGGTGTCTCTCCAGCAGCATTTTACCTTCAGAGCCTAGTGAGCCGCTGAGCACACGGCTGGTGTTTAATAAGCATTCTGAATGTGTGTTTGAATACGCGATGGCCATCGCTCCTTGGCATTTTATTGTCCCATGATGAATAAGGTTTGTAATGAGCAGCAATAGAATTTGTGCCCAGTTTGTCAGTGAATCTTAATAAAGAAAACTATTTTTCTTGAGCACTTGCTGTGTCCAGCTACAATGGGAGATACTTTGCAGCAGGGGTCACAGACTCGAGTTGCTACAGGGCTCAGAGGATAATATAAACGTGTGAAGGGGGCTCAGAGGATAATATAAACGTGTGAAGGGGGTGGGCAGGGAGTGGGAGGGACTGGCTAGTTCATGCCTGAGTACTCACCTCCCGCTGATCGCTTCCCACAGAACTCTGGGCTCAGTTCTCCAGGTTTTGAATGTTTTAAAAAGAATATGGAATTCCAGATTTTTGTGTGTTATCTCCAGATTGTTTTAGCTGTTGGCATGTAATTCACATTTAAAAAAAACAACAGCAAAACTTCCTGCAGGTCACCCAGTCTGTGGGGGCCACGTTTGGCTTTCAGTCTGCCAGTTTGTGATCTTTACATAAAATTATCTCTAGATCTGTTCACATTCTTATTTTATAGATGAGTGACCTGGGACCTAAAGTGGTTGAGTAAAGTCAGGGGGTCAGCAAACCCTTTCTGTAAAGGACTAGATGGTAATTATTTTAGCTTTGTCGATCACACAGTCTGTGTCATAACAGCTCACCTCTGCTGTTATGGTGTGAAAGCCGCCAGAGGCAACCCATGAATGAAAGAGGATGTGTAAATGTGCCAATAAAATGTCACGAAAACAGCGGAGTCCAGATGTGACCTAAGAGCCAGTTTGCTGAGCCCTGCCCTTGATCTCAGCCTGGAACCCAGACCTGTCCCCTCACAGCGCAGCCTTCTCTTCCCATTATGGTGGTCTCCCTTCTCTTTGCTGGCATTTTAGATGACTTTTGCTGGGGGGAATACAAAACTTGGTGTTTGGAATCACAGAGGTCCCCGAGATCCAGCGAGTGCGGTAAATGTTAACTTTGTTTTCATAGTGGGAACATCATTGTGGCAACCCCAGGCCGCCTGGAGGACATGTTCCGAAGGAAGGCAGAGGGCCTGGATCTGGCCAGCTGCGTGAGGTCCCTGGAGGTCCTGGTGTTGGATGAAGCGGACAGGCTTCTGGATATGGGGTTCGAGGCGAGGTACTGGAGTTTGGACTTTGTGGGCTTCGGGTGGCACAGGATGAAAGGGAGCTCAAGATGGAATTCCTTTATTACTCCATGACTGTCTCTATTAGCCACATGTGAATTTCTGTTTTTTAATAAATTAATTTATTTGTTTATTTTATTTTTTGGGTGTGTTGGGTCTTTGTTGCTGCGTGCTGGCTTTCTCTAGTTGTGGTGAGCAGGGGCTACTGTTCATAGGGTACACGGGCTTCTCAATGCGGAGGCTTCTCTCGTTGCGGAGCATGGGCTCTAGGCGCGTGGGCTTCAGTAGTTGTGGCACGCAGGCTCAGTAGTTGTGGCTCACGGGCTCTAGAGTGCAGGCTCAGTAGTTGTGGCACACGGGCTTAGTTGTTCCACGGCACGTGGGATCTTCCCGGACCAGGGCTTGAACCCGTGTCCCCTGCACCGGCAGACAACTTCTGTTGATTGATTGATTGATTGCTGCCTTCGGTCTTTGGTGCTGTGTGCGGGCCTTCTCTAGTTGCGGCGAGGGGGGGCTACTCTTCGTTGTGGTGTGCGGGCTTCTCATTTTGGTGGCTTCTCGTTGTGGAGCACGGGCTCTAGGCACATGGGCTTCAGTAGTTGTGGCACGCGGGCTCAGTAGTTGTGGCTCACGGGCTCTAGAGTGCAGGCTCAGTAGTTGTGGCTCATGGGCTTAGTTGCCCCACGGCATGTGGGATCTTCCCAGACCAGGGCTTGAACCCGTGTCCCCTGCATTGGCAGGCGGAGTCTTAACCGCTGCGCCACCAGGGAAGTCCTCACATGTGAATTTCAAATCATTAGGTTGATTACTCCTTCAGATTCTACCACACAATTTAAATTCCATTTCTTATGTCTTTGATGTTCTTAAGATGTATTTTCCTTCATGGCTTCTTTAAAAGTTTCTGTGAGTTTTAAAAAAAGTAAGTAGCTTTATTGGGATATAATTCATATGTTACACAGTTCACCCATGTAAAGTGTACAGTTTCATGGTTTTTAGTCTCAAAAAGTTTTGTCTTAATTTCACTCTTTTAATTGCCCCCCATTGTAAAAGTAAAATTGTATGCTTACATTGAAGAAACCTTGGGAAAATGAGAGTATAAAGAAGAAATGAAGATCGCCCATTATCTCACCTCCCAGTAGTAGCTACTGTAAATATTGTGATGGTTTTCAGTCTTTTAAAATAACCTGTTTAGTATCATAAAACGCCATTTGTTGATTATGCTGATAAGTGAGGGGTTAAGATGAGCCCTCTCTTTTTAGCATAAACACCATCTTGGAGTTTTTGCCGAAGCAGAGGAGAACGGGCCTCTTCTCGGCCACTCAGACACAAGAAGTGGAGAACCTGGTGAGAGCAGGCCTCCGGAACCCTGTGCGCATCTCGGTGAAGGAGAAGGGCGCGGCGGCCAGCAGCACGCAGAAGACCCCCTCCCGCCTGGAGAACTACTACATGGTGAGCGCTGGGTGGTATCATGACTCCTGCAGGCCATCGAGGAGGATGTAGGGGTCTAAGGTACAGCGTGGGGACTGGGGTTAACGGTGTCGTGTACTTGAAATTTGCTAACAGAGTAGTTCTTCAAATACAAAAGGGAACTATGTGAAGTGATGGGTGTGTTAATTCACTTGATTTCGATAATCATTTCACAGTGTACGTGCATGTCATCACTTTGTACACCTTCAATGTATACATCTATAGATTTTTAATGTGTAAATATGCTTAAATATATACACTTTTTATTTACCAATTATACCTCAGTAAAGCTGGAAAAAATAAAACAAGTATTAAAAGCCAAAGCAATTTACTGAAAGAAATTACTAATTTTTTTTGACTTGAACTGCTTTCAGTAAGCTTAGTTATGTTTTTTGGGGGCCGCGCCGCACAGCACGCGGGATCTTAGTCCCCCGACCAGGGATCGAACCCGCCCCCTGCCGTGGAAGCGCGGAGTCCTAACCATTGGACTGCCAGGGAAGTCCTGTTTCTCCTTTTAAATGATCAGCTATAATAATTGTTTTAACAACTTATTAGATTTTCCAAGTTTTATCAATATGGTGTACAGTGTTCCCACTGATATATGTTAACTCTTAGCAATTAAAACAAATAAACAAGCAAATGGGACTTCCCTGGCTGTCCAGTGGTTAAGAATGTGCTTCCACTGCGGGGGCACGGCTTTGATCCCTGGTTGGGGAACTAAGATTCTGCATGCTTTGTGGGGCGGCCAAAAAAAAGCCAAAAATAAGTGCTCTAGAGACTGGCTTTCAGTTTTCTAGGAAGCTAAATCTATAAAATGATACCCTGTGGCACATTTTTTTTTTTTTTTTTTTGTGGTACGCGGGCCTCTCGCTGTTGTGGCCTCTCCTGTTGCGGAGCACAGGCTCCGGACGCACAGCCCCAGCGTCCATGGCTCACGGGCCCAGCCGCTCTGCGGCATGTGGGATCTTCCCAGACCGGGGCACGAACCCGTGTCCCCGGCATTGGCAGGCGGACTCTCAACCACTGTGCCACCAGGGAAGCCCCTGGGCACTCGTAAGTAATATGGACCCCTGGGTCCAGTTCCACAGCTGTGAATCGTAATCTGTATGCTGTGTCCAAGGATCTGCATTTTAAAGACCTCCCCGGGGGTGGTGTTATGGCTGGCATGGCGCTGTCTGCATATGGGGTTTGGGAGGTACTTAACTGCACTGGGTGACTCCCTGTCCTCAGTTACGTGACTTTGTGGCTTACGTGTGTCAGCAGCCCAGGCTGATGTTTATTCTCATCTCAGTAGACTGAGTAACATTCTGACGAAAGTCTGTCCCTTTTCATGGAGGAAATTAGATTCCTTAAAATTTAAGGCCGAAACTGAAATTAGCTTTGGGGTTATTATTGTCAGCAAATTTGTTTTTATTTTATTGGTTTTCCTTTATTATTTTGTAGGTATGTAAGGCAGATGAGAAATTTAATCAGCTGGTACATTTTCTTCGAAATCATAAGCAGGAAAAACACCTGGTCTTCTTCAGGTAATACTTCTGGGGTTCAGCCACACCCAGAACGTGCACATGTGTGTAGCCTTCAGGTTTGGAATTCCCTTCAGGTTGTCTGTCTGTTAGGAATGTGTTTGCTGCACATGACTTCTGCAGCTCACGCTGGCGGGGTTTATTTTTCTCCTGTGAAAAGAAGTCCAGAGGTAGGCAGTTCCTAACATTGGTTTCTGTCTCAGCAACGTCAAGACCAGTGTCTTTAACTGTCTTGGACTTTCCTTCCTGTAGGTCACCTCCTAGTTTTAAGATGACCACTGTGACACCTGCTGCCACGTTTGCGTTGAAAGCAGATGAAAGAGCAAAGGCAGGGAGAGGGGGAAGGGCAGTGCTTGCTACATCCGACCCTTTTAGTCAGAAAAGCAAAATACTTTCTCAGACAGCCCCTCCCAAGCTAACTTCTGCTTTCATTGTATGGGCCAAAGGTGGGTCACCCAGCAGCCCCTCACTTTAGGAGATGGGAAAAAAACAAGTGGGTAGCTGTCCCAGCCTCTGTAGTAGAGGGAGGTGAAGGAGGAAGTGGTTGGGAGGGTGTTTGATCCGCCAGCCTAGTGTCTGCCACACTGGGGTGTGTCCTGTTGTCAGAACGCAAGATAGGAACAGTTGTGTGTATCCTTTGGGCTGTTTTTTTCCTCCTCCAGATATACCTGTGGTGGTGTCCTTTTGGAAATACCAAAATAATTTTATGTTTCTTTTCCATCCATCATGTCACCAATAAAATGCATTAGCTGTACCGTCCGACAGTTAGAAATACAACCTGGTACACACACACCCCCCCCCCCCCCACACGAAACTGAAACAAAGATTTCATAAAACTGCATTTGACTAGGTGGGATGCATTCTGATGCTTTCTGTTCTGCTCTAATTTTTTTAAAATGCTGGTCCAGACTCACTAAATTGATTTCAGAACCCACCAGATTGCTTTCAGGATCTGTGGGTTGTGACTCTAGTGTGCAAAACTGCTTTATTATGTACTGATGTGACTCTTGGTGGAAACTGGGGAATCTCGCCGCAGTCAGTTAGCACAGGTGTTTAAGACAGGAGATTTAGACAGGAGTTAGCCCGAATTGGAATCCTGCAGCCTGGTGTAGTGGGAGAACATGGGAGACGGAGTCGCACCTTCCTCTGGTTCTCCTCTGCCACTCACTCGTACTGCCTCTCTGTAAGCTTCAGGTCCCTCATCGACAAAAGGATGTGACATCTCTTTGGAATCCCTCAAATAAAAAAGGTGAACTTTATTAGAAGGGGGCTGTGTAGGGAGCTCACAGACTCAAAGAGAAAGCTGGGTGCACCGCCTCTAGGGAAGACAGGATCTGGGGGACCCAGATGGGCATCTCTTTAGGGCACAGCCTCATTGGGATGACCCTGCTCCAGTCCCCTTTTGTCCTCGACTCCAGTCCAGTATCTAGGGTAGAGGACCTGATAGGTGTGACTTCTGCTGAGCCCTTGGGAACTGCGCTGGGCGGGGAAGAAGCAGCTCCCTGAAGGAACAGCAGGAGTGAAGCTACATTTAAGATGTCGTCGTTCTTGTCGTGAAGGACTCCTTCAGTCTAATTAGTTCCTCAGGGGGCCAGGGAGATCCCCTGCTAGAACAGTTTTAGAAGGAGGAACACGTTGTTTGGGT